CTATCTGTGGGCTGTCAAGACTCCTGAACGCGAAATAACATCATAACGAAGTATGATGGACTTGCAGGGCAGACACATGTTCACACTGATGCAATAGGACAGGGTATTTGTTAATATGATTTATTGGGTTAGGGATTTTCTGTCTTCACTGTGAGTTGTATTGTGTTGGGTGTGTGTGCATGAGAGAGCTCAACCAATCTCCTTGTACATATGTTGTACACTGACGAATAATTCAATTCAGTATTAAATATGTCAGAGAAGATAGATGTTGGGTGGGTTGGGCTTGGAGTAGATTCTGCTAGAGTGAAAGGGGACTGGATGGGTTGTGGAGTAGAGGAAGTAGCTGCTAAATAACAGAATAACAATTAAAAGAGATATTGGAGATCTTTTGCATGAACAAGGAAATATGGCAGTATTATTAAAGATGTTACTGAATACATACGTTTCCAGATTTTGTCATGCTACCCATTTTAGATTTTTTAAACCTACGTTGTCTATTTCAGCATGCTCAAATGGAAATATATGTATTATAAAGAAGATAGAAAAAGTAATGAAGAAATATATGAAAAAGCTACATTTTAAAGCCCTCTGATAACATTCCACAAATTAAATAAGGGCATTGAATTGTGAAAATAAATAATAATCAGGAAGTATTTAGAGTTCCACTAAAAGTGGTGGCTTGTATTCAAGATTATATACAAGATTGCCTTTAAAATAAATATATTTAATACATTGCACTACATAGAACAAATATTGCAAGAAATTAATTCTATATGACAAAAGATAGAGCCCAAATTCTACCACTGCCTTCACCTTTTATAATTTCTAATTCTTTGGTGCTCTCTCAGCTTGATTGTTTTCTTGAAGATGTTTCATTGCCAAACTAGATAACATCATCAATGCTAGAAGGGAATGGGCTTTTCTGTCTTTATATATACTGGTAGCTTGATCTGTCAGTGGAGGTTCATGGTGGTTCCTTGATTAGGCTGTTGTATTATTTTACTGTGATTTGTTACTTAATTTGGGAGATGTTTTCTATTATCTGATGTATACAGAATGTAATAATGGGCTAATTATGGAAGTTAACTTAAATGTTAAATGCCAACTACAATTTTTAAATAATTTGCATTTATGTATTCATAATATAATCTATTAACTTCATTTTATATTTTATTAAGGCACAAAGCTTGAAATAACTGAATGGAGTTAATTTTAGGAACTAGAACTGCTTTGTATTCTTATACATAGGCTGATAACATTGATTTGATGCCTGTTCTTCCAGTCCAAATGTGGTAGTGCGGTCAGGTGAGTTGCAATTAATTCCACATTCTGTCAGTCACCTCTGCCAAGTCACTTACATAATTCATGTTGTAAAATTGCACCTTATACTTTTGCAACTGCTTATATTTTGGAAGATTTAACACCTTAAGATATTGTGGAAAAACTTAAGCAGCTTTTCCCATTCCACGTTTTTCTGTTGTCAATTTCATTTTTTTTTTAGTACTACTGTGCCTACATGAGAAATAACATCAAATCCATAAATGGTTTAAGGAAAAGATTGGGCTTAAGGATAAGCCAATCTAAATTAAGCACCCACATAATTTTAATTAAACTGCATCAGTTGTGCATGTGAAGCAAAATATGCATTTATTTCCTGTGAAGTAATAGGATGAAGAGGGAGATGCTGACATGTGGAGCCAAGTTTCATATGTATTTCTTTTTCCAGGCAGTATAAAAAGACTCAAGAAAAAGAATTGGCCGAGGAGACTAGACTGTCCTAGGTTGAGGAACTGAGGCAGATCCAGGAGGGACACAAGCCAACTTCCATTGAGAAAGTATTTTTATTATAAAAAGGAAGGTACATTTTTTTTTTGCTTTTAATCAAACAAAGTTGTGATTTCTTAGTACAGTAATTCTATATTCAATTCATAAAAATCCTTATGTCCTATACCAGTGATGGCTAACCTTTTTGTCATCTTGTGTCGAAAGCTTGTGTGCGCAACAGCCTGCACCCACGGCCATAATGCAATGTGTGCAGAACCCCCCCATCTCATTTTGGGCCTAGTAGGCATCCCTGTAGCCTCCTGGGACAAAAATGGGAGATGGGGTGGGGTGCTGCATATTGCATTATTGATGCACCCTCCGCGCATGCATGGCAGAGACCTGAAAATCAGCTGGCTGGCAGGACGTGTGTGCCCATACATGGTGGAGCTGAGCTGGGGCAACAGCTCATGTGCCCACAGAGAGGGTTCTGTATGCCACAGTCCTATGTAGAGTTCTACACTGTTCACGTTCATAATTTGTATAGTCCTTATACAAAATAGCCCCTACTATAGTTTTTATATGCTATTTATAGTTGCTGTCAAGCCAGCCTCCCCCAGCAACCAAGAAAGAAACCACTTAACTCCATTTCGCAGAATTAAGAGTACTTTTACTGGTTATGAAAAGATAGCAGCTAAGCAAAGCAAGATCTAAGGCAAAAGAAATCATGACCCAAGTCCCCTGGTAACCCCATCCCACAGTCCAATCTGCAAATCCCTTAGGTGTCATGTGAGTTCCATCTTCAAAGAGCATCATCAGG